TTTTTTTTAACGCCTGGACGCCTTCTCAATGGACTGGTTAAAGAGCTCCACCTGTACCCTCTCTCCAGAATTCTGGGGAATTACTGTATTTAAGGATCAGTAAATCTTGGTATCCCTTTACGTTTTTACATAACTCTGAGGGAGTTTAATGCTAATAAATTGGTAACTTCATGATTTACGGCTTTGCATTCTGTAGTTCTCTATCTCTTCCAGCGGTGGATAACATTTCTAAATTGATTAGGTACCTCGAGCACTCAGACTATATCCATGAAATCTCTTACCCTCTCCTTTCCTTCCTACATTCGATCATTGAATTTGAGGTGAGGGGTTGTAGCTAAGATCTTCATTTTCTGTTCCTTTTTCACCTTTTTCCTTTGTCAGTCAATGAATCCCGAGACACTGATATGCGAGGATAGCGAACTGTAGAAACTTCTAAAATGTGGTAAAGGAGTCCATCCATGTACGTATGATGGAAAGAAATGACCTCTTTTGAAAAGGCGATGAAGCACAGCTTGATTGGTCAAAGAAAAGAGGCAACCCAACGAGCAAGTGTTCCTGTGCTTATCTGGAATACAAGCTTTTTAGCACTCTTTGTAATCTTCAATTTGTAATCCTGAGGTGGAAATGAATAGGCAGTAGGCCATGCTGATTAAAAATTGCCCCACCTGCTTTCCAATGCCCAAATCAGCATTAAACTATGATAGTGAGGTTTTTGCTTAACATAAAAGAAACACAAGAAGGAAGAAATCCAAGGCCGGTTTTGTCAAAATAAGGAAACATGTCATGGGATGTTGTTCCAAAGACAACTGCCACATCATGGACACATCAGGCCCATCCCCACATGGCATGATAGCATTAAGAGTCCACATCCTGAATCTTCAAATGAATTCAACAAAGTAGTTGATAAGGCGGCAAAAGGGTTGCCCGGCTTTCAGGAATGCCGGCAACACAAATTTGGTAAGATGACATTTTTAAGTCATCTTCAGAACTTTCATAACAGTACTTCAGTCTCCGACAAATATTTATGCAAAAATCATTACCAGAAATGCTTGTATAATAGGAAGAATACACCCGTTCTGTGTGTGCCCACAAAAAAAGCGTGCGGGTCAAGCACCTATAGGACAGCACATGCAGCATATGATAATTCAGATTGATGTCTTTTCATATCAACCTCTAGCAAAATCAAGCCACAGAACGAAGTGAGACATTTACCTGAAGGAAACCAACCACTGTTCATGACATATTGTATTGCATTTAGGTGATGCCTACAATTTCTCCTATAGCTCTTATGACAATTACTAGTATAAGAAATTTTCAGCGAAACAAAAGTGAAAAATGGTTTCAGAGTTTAGTTCCTCGGTACTTTTTATCTTTACTCTTATCCTCTATCTTGTCTTCATCCAAATTCCCCGAGCATGGAGATGGAGTGAATCCACGCATTGCCTTAAGTGCATCAACAACTTTCTCCATTTGCATACTACGGCTACCCTTCACCAGGACAACATCATTGATATTCAAGCAATTCAAGATTTTGGGAACAATATTTTCTGCATCAACCGCATGTATAATATTTATCTTCTTATGTAAATTCATATTCTCAGCTGCTACATGAAACCTCTTCCCAGCAATGCCAACTAAATCAATATGAGCATCCAGACAATAGTTTAGTATCTCCTCATGATATTCCATCTCAGCAGGACCAAGTTCTAACATGTCCCCGAAAATAGCAACTCTTTTTCCATTGCAATCAATGCCTTTTAACATGTCAATGGCAGCTTTGGTGCTAACAGGATTGGCGTTGTAAACATCATTCACTATTCTGATCCCACATTTAGCTACCTCAAACTCTGACCTCATGTTAACAGGAACATATCTAGACAAGGATCTTCCAACTTGGGAAAGAGGAAGGCCAAAATATGTTACCACTGCTGCTGCTGCACAAGCATTAAGAGCCAGATGCAGACCCGGACCATTAATCACAAACTCCACCCTGAATATGAAACCAACAAACTATTTACATAAATACTTTCAAGTGTTTTATATTCGTTGAAAATCTAACAATAAAATACGCATCTCAATCATTGAACAAGATAAGAAGCCAAAGTTTCTTATGACAACAAAATATCCAAATATGGATGCAATCCTAAGCAAGAAAAGAAGCCCAAACTTCAGAGTACAATAAAAAACACTCTGGAACTTTTGCCCTTAATGAAATATTTATTAATAAGGAAAAGTTCCAAATAAATTAGGTGTTAATCATAAGTCATAAGAACAAAAATTGACACTGATATCATCTCTAAAAATCTCAATGGAAATTTTTGGATATGGAAATTGCAATAAAAGTTGAGGAAGAAGGAAAATTTGAAAACATTGAGCTTATCCAGAGAAAAAAGAATTAAACCTTTATAATTTTTTTTTAAAAAAAAGTGATAACTAGTTCGAGTCATAGCCCTTAGAGTCTCATTCGGCGCCAACTGACCATTCCATTCACTTTTGACAGGTGGATTTCAAAGTAAGAATGCAACCTTTTTGTCACAATTTCAACCATAAAAGGTAACATGCTTCTTTCATTCCAATTTCAAAATTTTTAAAAAAGATTTCAAAGGTTCCTTTTTTCAATTGATTTTTGGTATCGGTTGATCAAAATCTTCAAAATTATTGGCATAAATAAATGAAATGAAGGGGAAAAGTCCATAAGAAATCTCTCCGTAATAAAGGTTTCTGACTTCTACTTATACCTTGAAGTGCCCCAACTACTTAGTAAGGATCTATTCAAACACTCTTTGGTCCCAACGGTTCATTATGGCAAAACCCATTAACTTAAAAATGAGCAATCCTTCTAACAAACTTACATCTCCATATTGTTCTCTAAGACAACTCGAACTCCAAGACCGCCACATATGCTATCTGCTGCTACCAGCCGAACATCACACTCCAAACTCTGACCAAAAAGCACCTAATGCACAGGTAGAAGTCAATTTGCAGGACTAGCTTACACACCAAGATGGAAGGCAAAAATATCAAGTCCCTCCATCAATGACAAGGAAGATTAACTGGAAAATTTACAGCTGGACAGACCAAAGATATAGACTCACACCTTTTATCATGAAACCATTTGAAAGCATGCTAAATGACACAAAAGTATGTCAATAATTGTTGGAATACCATAACATGTTGACAGTTTGGAGAAGAATCAAAGTTTTAGCACCTCATACAGTGTGGCTCTTATTTCTAGAGCATAACAAAATGCCCATTCAGCAACACATTCATGGCTAATGCTACATCTAATGCCAGCTACATAGATGGCATCTTATATACACTGCTATCTTAGGTCTCCAATTGTTTGGCATGGGCAAGAAGCCAAGAACTGTTAAAAGTAGGTTTGTGAAACAGCATCAATAATATGAGATAAGCCTATCATACCCTACTAACTCCTGGAGGAACAGGAAGGCCAACGACAAGAGGATCATCAGCATTCAGAACACAAACATCTCCTGGCTTTGCTTCTTCCAAAAGCTCCCCCTTAGCCATTGCAACATCCTCCAAGCTTCCAAGTTTCTCCAAATGAGAAGCACCCACATTTAGAATCACTCTTATATCTGGCCTCCCCATCCTTGCCAATTCCAATATCTCTCCTTTCCCACTCGTTCCCATCTCCAAAATTGCAGTCCCCACATTCCTTGGAATCCCAATCAATGACAAAGCAACTCCAATTCTAGTATTCCAATTCCCATAACTATGATAAATCCTACTCTCTAGACTCTCAAGAGCCAATGCAATCATAGCTTTTGTA